ACTTCCTCACAAGGCCGGTAAGTGGAGGACTTCTTGATGGGTATATCCTTATACCCGACCCGGACAACCGAAAGGGACAGGTCAAAATATGACCGGTCACTTTTATCAATCACCAAATGAGGTTAACTCTTCGATTGGGACGGGTCAAAAGTTGACCGGTCACTTCCACTAAAAAAGTGACCGGTCACATTTTGGGCGATAGCCAAAATGTCGCCTAATGTTACAAAGGACATTCTAGAAGACCAGAGACGGGTTGAGCACAAAGAATGACCGGGTAACTTTTGAGAGAAGGTGACCGGTCATATCACTTTACTTGGCTAACATTGGTTCAGTCTCTTAGGCATGGTGAACCACGTCAGAGGTCAAGGGGACACCCCGCCGCTCATCCATCACGAGGCACACAGTGAAAGGGATGTTTGTCATTTTCCAGGGTTGATTGGATTGAGAATATCCATTTAAGTCTTTGATTGAACAGTACATGTCTTGGCCTATAGTTGCTAAATTCTATGATTGTACAGTGTTCCCATTATCTACAGTGACCTTCCCACGAGCTTCCTATTTTGTCCATGGATGAACAGGGGAAGATCACAAATCCTCCTCTATAAATATGATGATATTGGATAGAGGAGGGGATCCAATTTTTCTCTCACTAAAGTTCACTCTTGAGATAGAGTAAGAAATATAATTCGGACTGAGGAGATTTACCCGGTCTAGGTCATACTTTGTGTTCTTGTTGTGGGTTTTATATTACGGGTCGAGTGTGTCCAGGTCAAACCCGGTTAACCCACCCAGCTATATTTACACTATCAAGGTCTATAGAAGAATTTGCGGAAGGATAAAGTTACATTTTCTAATTGTTACTTCCAAGATGTTAGCTAATCTTTTGGTAAAATTAAATACCATATTTATTAAAAGTTTTATTAGGTAGAAACCTCTATTTGTTATAGTAAGTTTATTTTATTTAGACTCCTGGAGTTATTGTTTTTTTGAGATTGACACTGAAGATGCTACAACACACTATACAGATAAGAGGTCTGTGCTGCACAGAAACTTAAGTTGCAATCTGCATTTTTTAAAATCAGAGACCTATTAGGGATGTGACTACATGCTGAGAATTATTTATAATAAATGCAGCTGGTATTTTAGAGGTTTTAGGCTACCTGTGGATCAAGATTCAAGTTTAAAGAAGTTATACTCCCTCCGTCCCGTTATATTCGTCCACTTTTGACTTTTGGAACTGTTCATCTAAGCACTTTGACTCATCAAATTCTCTCAATGTGTAAGTCTAAATATAGTCATGTGTGATCTTGTTTGATTTGTCTTAACATATAGATTATTAATATATAATTTCTATAATTTTTTAATATACAAATTACAAGATAAAATGGATTAAAGAAGTGTATTGGATGGTGTGTAAAAATGAAAGTGGACAAATACTCTGGGACGGAGATAGTATTTAAGACAACTTCTACTAGCTTATTTCTACCAGGATTGAGTTGGGAGAGGCCTATAAAAACGCAGTAAATACCTGGGAATTCCTTGGAACGATTGAGAGGAAAAAATGCAGAATATACATTGATGTAGAGCGTTCCCGTCGCATCCTAGAGCTTCCCTTGCGTGAAGAAAGTTACAGTCTATATGAAAATGGCGATCTTCAACGCCAAACATATCGTAACATCCAGAAGATGAACCTGAGCTTACGGAGAGGGCTGCCACCACGTTTTTCCTTGTGATCTCGGTGGAGATATGATAGCCGAAGCGGATCTTTATAGGGTGCGGGTTAGAAATCCTAGATTAGAAGTTTCGTCAGAATAATTCAGAGAAGTGTGTCTCATCATGTTGTTATATTTCGGTGTAACTTGTATCTAGTGAATTAGTGGAAGGCTATTACTTTTATTTTATTTATTATTATTTCAATAATCCTAGATTAGAAGTTTCTAATTTCAATAATTAATATTTAATTGATGTTAACCTTTTTATTTATTTTTGTTAATTTTGAATTTTTTACTTTTATTTTATTTATTATTATTTATCTATTTTTATTAATAAATAAATATTTGTATTAAAATTATACCAGTTTTGAATTAAAAATGATGAGTATTATAAAAGAAACGGAGAGGCAGATTTTTGGAACGATAGATAGCATTAAAAGATTTAGAATGCTATTGTATGAGGAGTTGGGGCGGGGCAGATTTGCTCCCATTGTAAATGAAGAAAATCACTCAAAATAAGACTAAAACATAGAGAAAATACCAAAACAGGAGTTCTATATTTTTATTTTCTAAATAGAAGTTCGCACTGTGACAATTTGACACTATAGATGTCACATTGGGATGCTAATGTAGCAGGGGTTGGGTCGGGGCAGATTTGCTCCCATTGTAAATGAAGAAATCACTAAAAATAAGACTAAAACATAGAGAAAATACAAAAATAGGAGTTTTATGTTTTTATTCTCTAAATAGAAGTTCACACTGTGACAATGTGACACTATAGATGTGTATTTTACGTAGTGTACATGATCGTGATTGATAATGTAAATGTATTTTAACTCTTATTTCGTGGATAAAAACATGAAACTCTATTCTACTCTCTCCGTCCTAAAACTATTTTTCAAATTACTATTCATACGGTCAAACTTAAATCATTTTCTTAACTTATTTTCGTTAGTTATTTGATAAAATAATATAGTTTTTTCACCTCTTGTGTTGTAGAACTTTTGATTTAGTTTTTAAATGAGTAGTATATAAATTTTATTTTTTAGTTTTACACCTACAATCAAATAAATTGAATTAAAAATAAAATCGATCAAAACTCATAAATGCAAAACAGGAAAATAATTTTAGAACGGAAGGAAAAATATATTTTAAATGTTTTACTTGTACGGAGTATTATTTTTGACGGTCTTACTCGAGGGAGGAGTAAATGTTAATGGGGACAGAAAATAAAAAAAATCGGATGAAATTCAAAAATCAAAAGTCAGGGAGGAGTGATTTTCGGATGATAAACGGCTGAAGAGACGAAGGTCGGCACCACAGTAAAAAAAAGCATTGATGGTCAAGAAAGTCTCTTCTCCGCAATGAGTCCATCCAACGGCCCAAAATGAAAGATAACAAATTTATAAAGAGCAGAGCAGGGTTGCGATGGCTGCCGGCGTCAGAGTCCATGGCTTCCACCGCCATCCTTCTCTCTCTAATCTCCGCAATCTTCACTGTCTGTGTCATTTGGTCCAGACAAACACTCCCCGTCACGGAGAAGAGCATTCGCGAAGAAGTGGAGCCCCACCAGTACACCGCCGCGGAAAGGCCGCCGGCGGTTGTGGAGTGGGACAAGAAGAGGACGGAGTGGCTGAATCGCCACCCTTCATTCGCCGCGCCCGGGGCGAGGAACCGTGTTCTCGTCCTCACCGGATCGCAGCCCGACCCTTGCAAGGGCCCCGCCGGCGATCACCTGCTCCTCAGGCTCTTCAAGAACAAGGTGGACTACTGCAGAATCCACGGGTACGACGTGTTCTACGGCAACGCGTTCATGAATCCCAAGATGGGCTCCGTTTGGGCCAAGGTGCCCTTGCTCCGGGCCGCGATGCTGGCCCATCCCGAGACCGAGTGGGTCCTGTGGATGGACTCCGACGCCGTTTTCACGGACATGGATTTCAAGATTCCGCTGGATAAGTACAGAGACCACAACCTCGTGGTTCACGGCTGGCCCTACATGATCAAGCATCGGAGCTGGCTGGGAGTGAACACCGGGATTGTGCTAATGCGGAATTGCCAGTGGTCCATGGACTTTGTGGATCTGTGGGCCCGTATGGGCCCACAATCTCCGGACCACGAGAGGCTGGTCCGGAGGGTTATGTCTAGGGTGAAGGACGTGGTGAACCCGAGGAGGCTGGACGAGCAGTCGGCGCGGCTGTACCTGCTGCTGACGTTAGATGCGAAATGGACGGCCAAGATCTACGTGGAGAACGAGTACTACCTGCACGGCTACTGGGGAGAGGTGCTGGGGATGCTCGTCGAGGGAAGCGGCGGCGACGCGGCGGGCAGGACGACGCCGTTCGTGACGCACTTCACCGGATGTCAGCCGTGCAGCGGGGAGCACAACCCGAAGTACGCAGGGGATTCTTGCTGGGCTGGGATGGAGAGAGCGCTGAATTTCGCGGACAATCAGGTGCTTCGGAATTTCGGGTTTAAGCATAAGGACCTCAAAACTCTGTCTCCTCTCTTGAGCGTTCCCATTGATTTTCCTGCGAACAAGACTTCCATCCTTTAATTTCTTTGTTTCAACCAATTTTACCCTCCCCCTCCCTCCCACTTTTCAAATTGCTGGATTCATCTTTCCAAGGACGTCAAAACTTTCTCGTGTTTTCAAAAGTTATTTGTAAAGTTTCTGTGGTTTCTAAATAGATCACACATGCTCCCCTTACCTATATTTAAAGCAAAAATGAGATTTATGCTTTTTGTTTTCCCTGATCTTGAATTTTTCCAATTTCAATTTCATTTATTATACAAATATATAAAATAAAATATACGCTTCCCATCTCAAATTAGAATTTTTCATAATGTATTTTTGAAAACAAAAGATTTTCTTGGAGAATGTTACAAAAAAATGAAAAATAAAATATTATGTACAAAGTAAAAAGTAATAATAGTTAAAAAAAGGCAATGAAAAGAAATAAAAATATAAAAAATAGTCTTTTTCTTTAACTTCATATTTTATTTCATCTTTCTGTTCTTCATTTTTTAAAGTCCTTAAAAAATTACAGTATTTTACTTTTAAAAAACAAATAAGTTAAAATTTTTAATTACAGATAGAGTGAATATATGTTATCCAATTTTTTATTTTATTTATTTTACTTTTACTTATAATGAAAAAATGTATTATATTTCATTTTTGTAACATTTTCATAAAAAAATTAATTTTTTGAAAATTAAATAAATAAAAAATTTTAATTTGAGAAAGAGGGTGTATATTTTATTTTATTTATTTGTATAACAAAAATATAAAGAAAAGAGTGAAATTTGAAGATAGAGAAAAACCAAGGGTATAAATGCCTTTTCATGTGTAAAATAGGCAAGAGGGGGTGTTTGTGCACTATTTAAAAACCACAAGAAATTTACAAATAACTTTTGAAAGTAGATGGGTTTTGACGTTTCTTTAGTAAACCACAAGGGGCATCCATGCTATTATCCCGTTGTTCCGGTTGTAATATTGTAGTAGTGAAATTTGCATTGAATAAGTCTAAAACATAAGTCATTTCTCGATATAGAACTTAAGTTTTTTTATTCCCTAAATAAGACTAAATAATGAATAATGATGAGAATAATGTCCAAATGATGCTAGACATTTAGTTGAATAATGACTAATAAGGAATGAAACCATATTTGGCAAATTAAGGGCTTGTTTGGATCAGAGATTAGTTGTTTTTTTATTAACAGAATGCAAACATAAATTCATCAAAGCAAATGGAGTACAAAACAATGCCAGAGACATCAGAGAACACCCCTACAAACTACATACATCAAACAAAAAGCAAAACTTAAGTAAACCCAGGAGTTTTAGCATTCATATAGGTAGTGACATGATACTTGATACAATGGATAGTATCACCAATTGGGGTAAAGGTGTTTGTATGAAGGGCCAAGTTCCTAATCTTCCAAATGTAATAGACACAAGCAGTATATGTTAAGGTAATCTTCTTTCTTTTCTTAATTGGATTAGTGCTCTGAAGCTTGTTACAATGACTTCAATACTACTCCCCCTCAAAGTGATGACGACTCCAAGTATAGATCCTCATATACAACTCCTTAGAGCAGTGGTAACACTGGTGACGCTGTGGGGCGTCACTGCGATTTTAACGCCCAAGGGGCGTTAAACACTGCCTCCTTGGGGCTTCACCGTGGCATTATCCTTCCGGCGTCATACGTTTGACACAACTTCTCCCCCCTATAACGGCTAAAATAGCCGTTGGAAGCAGAAAAAGAAAAAATTAATTACCAAGTAATTCTTTTTTTTTAAAAATTTCAAACTTCATCTCCTCTCATTTTCACATCTTTCAATCTCCAATCCTCATCAATCTTTTTCACATCTTCTTGTACAACAAGAAAAGTAACCTTCTTCAACCTCATAACAAAACTCTCACAAGAGTAGAAATGAAAAAATGATTAACTTCTAATAGATGACAAGAAAACTCTCTTGAAAAAAATAGTTTTCTCTCAAAAGGATTTATATTTGAGCAAGGAATTAATGGATGATTAAGACCACAAGAAAAAAGTGTTTTTAGAGTGTTTCAAGTGTCTAAAAATGACCAAGGAAAAGAGTTTTTAAATAGCGTAAAGAGCATATATCCGTTGGTTCAAGAAAAGAAGTGAAATACGGAAAATTATGTAAGAATCGATTATTTTTATAAAAATTGATTTGTTATTTAGTTTCTTTAGAAAATTCATCTAGAAGCAAAAAAACAATTTCTGCAAAAAATATAGATCGATTTCTAGAGCAATTAATGCACAGATTGGATAAAAACATGCATGTGGGCGGAGATAAAGCATTTTTGTCCAAATCCTCTTGTTTCCCACAAGATAACATGGTGATTTGACGGTCCAATCACCTCAATTATCTCAATATTCAATTCTCCAAAAGGTGAAATCGCTCCCCCCGGGTGCCCCTCACCCCTGACCCGACGGGAATGTGAGAGGAGGTAAATCACGGTGACCCAAGCAACAACACTTAGCTAGACCATATCCTAGTGCGCACCAGAGACTCCCCCCATTTTTCAGAGGAATTATCTCAATATTCAAATTTTGAATATTTATGGATAATTGGGGTGTAGAAATTGAGTCTCAAAAATATTTTGTATATCAAACGATGTCTAAAAATATTTGATTAAAATTTTTTTTCTTACCAAAAATATTTTCTAATATCAAAATAAGTATTTTGATAAATGTTTGACACATCTTTTGTAACTGACTCAATAAAAACATTTTTGAACAGTTAAAAAGGATTTTTCAATTGACTCCAAAATAAGTATAATTTTTAAATAACTCTGATAAAAATAATTTTAGAGTTAAGAATATTCTTTTCATCCTTACAATATTTCCTAAGACTCAATTAAATTAAAAGTTTTTTCATCGTTTATTTTGCTGACCGATGCAAATGAGGGGATTTATTTGGTTCTTTTTGTGGTAGCGAACGACACTCTTTAACCACAAATTAAACATAATCAATATAAATAAGTGGCATAAAAGTTTGATATTTATATCAAAACTTTATCATAATATTAACCCAAATATATTAAATTTATATTATAATTAAATATATTTTTCTCACAATTTATGGTTAAAGAGTATCACTGTTTAACTAAAAAAATCAAAATAGGAAAAGTTTTTAAGACAAGAGGAGGTAAGAAACTACAGAGCAATTGAAGATAAAAGAGTGAAGAAAAATAAATCTTAAATAAAATTGGAAATTTTAGAGAATTTTGAAACTCAAATTTCTCCCCCATCAAAAGAGGAAAAAATCTAAAAGACATACCTATAATTTAAAATTAAAGAATTGGAAAAAATTGAAACAAATAACTAGGAGTATTCACCAAGATTGAAGAGTTGAAGAGGAGATGAAACGGAAGAGGCAAAACTGATCTATTGATTAGGTTGATAGATAGATTGGAAAAGGCATAACTTATCTATGGCCTATGGGTGTGTTCACAAATGATTTATAGAGGGTGTTTGGCAGTGCGCTGCTTTTAACAATTTAGCTTCTGCTTTGAGTGAAAGTGATTTTACTCTGTTTGACATGTCAGCTTCTGCTTTTCACCAACATTATTTTGTACATAGAACACCGTTACAGAAAAGCAGGTATGAGGTATTTTTGCTTTCAGCTTTCGTAAAAATTACTTTATCCATAAGCTAATTTCTCCCAAACACGCTCATAGAATTGCAGAGATGATTATGACCGGTGTATATATAAATATTTGTGATAGTCACCCGCGGTGACTTGTGGTGTGTTCCTAATCTAACAAATAGCCAAGGAAAACACGAGAAATAAAACATGGATAAAGCTATGTCCCAAGAATTTGTACCACATTTTGTACACCGCAGGGATGCACCTATATTTTATGTTGGTGTAATGATAATTTTTGTTAAGGTAATGCTAGGGGTACACCAACATGGGGTACTCCATTTGTACACCAAGCCAACACAGACACAGACACAAAATATTTGTGCTGCACAGACATTTTGTGTCTATGTTGGCTTGGAGTACAAATGGAGTACCCCATGTTGGTGTACCTCTAGCTTAATTCTTTTTGTTAATGCACCAACACTTTGTGTCATTGAAAATTTTTGTTAACGCATCAATACTTTATGTCAGTGTGAACCATCAAAATATTGGTGCATACTTTTGGGTTAGAAATTTTGGCGTACATGTAGTATGCTCCATAAAACATTGTCTTGGAAGTGAGTTAGACTGATATTGAATTAATACGTAATGGGCTGACATTACAAAAAAAAATCTATGTACGGGCCATAGTAAATAATTTGGGTTTAGAGTGCATTCGTGCCCTTTGAGTTTCTAAAACACATTGCAGCCCATACGCTGATACGCCCAGCTAGTCATAGAAAATTGTTTTACCACACTGAAAAAATGAAAATATGTAATACTTTGTCCATTCTATAATGGATGCTAATCATGCTACTCTCTGAACACTGAATTAAATCTCAGTATATAAAATTGGAATAAAAATATAAGTACCACGTACAAATTACACCGTTCCAAAACACATCAAAAATTCTATAAAACAAGAAATGTTGGAAATATTTTATTTTATCAAATGATAAATGAAAACATACAAACAAACAAAAGGTATTTAGAGGTGTTAATAATAACAGTGACATCTATTATGTGATGGAGGGGGTATCTTATAGTATCTATTAGTGAACAGATGAAGTGCGCTAGGGTATATTCTAATAATTAATTCTCCCGTCTCATTTTAAGTTGTCTTTCGCTGTTAGTGTTGTTCGACTGAAGTTGTTTTCAAATTAATTTATATGAATGTTGGGGTAAAATTATAAAAATAAAATTTATGTATTAAAAAATCACATTAAAAGTTGTTCAAAACAAGAAGTGATATTATTTCATTATTTTACTAAATGAGTAACGAAAATGAATAAAAAAAGTGATTAATGTTTGATCATATGAATAATAAACATACGACTTAAATTGAGATAGAGAAAAAATATACTAATATTCTATGCACAATCATAAAGAAATAAATATATTTAATAAACATGTATTCCATTATACTTCCTCCACCTCAATTTAAATAGCTTGTTTTAGTTTACGATGTATATGACTGAAGTTTTTTTGAATAGAATTTTTTTAAGAATTGCATGCGGTGAAATTAAAAAATAAAATTTACATATTTAAAAATTAGTATATCTAAAAAGCTTTACGAAATAAGAGGTGACTTTACTATATTATTTTATCAATTTAATATCTGAAACAATGTAAGAAAAATGAATCAAGTTAAAATATCTTAATAGTAAACAAAAAACTTACTCCCTCCGTCCCAAAAAGTCTTTTCTGTTTCATTTTTTACGCATCCCATAAAATACTTCTACCGACATTTAAAATGTCTAAAATTTACAACATTTCTTCTTTATTGTGGGTAGAAGTTATTTTGAAAGTTTTTTTGGCATTCAAAGCGGGTTTTATGGGATAGGCAAAAAATGAAACAGGACAAACGTTTTGGGAGGGAGAGAGTAAAAGATAGAGAGTATTTGGACTAAATTAAGCTAAATATTTGACTTTTTCTTCTCCATGTCACACGCAAGGCTTGTCTTCGTCAATCCTTGCAATAGCCACCATCACAACCATGCGACGACCAGCTGGCACGGCGGCACTCGGCAATCCTCCCCGTCCGGGAGCAGAGCGGGCCTTCAACGGCTGCACGTGCCAGAGCCGGTCCGGTCCCTCCTTGCCTCTAAGTCTTCTTCTAGAAGCGACCCTAACAAGCTCGCTCAAGTCCTCGTCCTCGGAGCTCAACGCGGAAAAGCTCCGAGGCAGTGGCGAAAGCTGCGCCGGCGCCGGACAGCCCATTAAATTCAAGGCGCCGCCGGAATATGTCAACTTGTCGGAACAATCCCACAAGCTCCGGATATACAAATCTCTGGCTCTCTTAACAACTCGAAGTGGCGCCTTAATGCACAATCTGAATCCGCTCTCTGTTTTAGCCTTGATTTTCATCATCTTTCACGTAAATATTAAAGTAAACTAATTGCCATAGCCCATAACTAAGAACTGCTTAAATAGTGTCATTAGTCATTATTAGTTCTATAGACTATAGTATATTCACAAAGATGGTTAATCGTTGTACATTAATGACAATTGGTTCATTGAATGTGCTCACCACCATCACGAGTATTATTTGTATAGAATACTGTACTACAGCTCTGATATTTTGGTTTTTAGGTTGGCAATGCGATTTGGCACTCTATTTTATTTTGTAAAATACCATCGACCAGGAGATAATTAGTCCCTCCTCGGTCCCAAAAATATTCTCATTTTGACTTTTAAAATATTTTAGGGAGGATATCTTTAGACTAAATTCCATAAAAGGTCTCCAGGCCAGATATAGTTCGTTTTACATATTTAGTCCCTACATATCAAATATTAATAATTTAGTCTCCAATTATTATATTATTTTCCACGAATGGTCCTTTGTTAACATTTTCGTTAAAAACGTGAAAAAATTTGTAAATTCACGATCCTCTCTCTCCTCAATTCAGTTTCGTCTCTCCTATCGCACTGCTTTCCCAAACCCATCACTAAGTTTGAAGTTTTGAACCCAAAACTGAAATCATCCCTCCTCTCTCAATTGTTCGTCTCCCTGCTGGAATCCAAAATCGAAACCAGTAACCTTCATGGATCAATTTTAAGGTTTGTTTTCTTTGCAATTTCTTGAGACTAATCCATAAATTCATCCTTGAAAGTTATTGATTTCGATTTTGAGTTCCACCTAGAAGATGAACAATTAAGAAAAGAGTGGTCGTTTCGGTTTTGGGTTTAGAGCTTCAAACTCTGCGACGGGTTTGAGGTTGAGTACGAGAAGGAGGAGGCTTAATTGAAAAGAGGGAGGAGTGTTAATATAGAATTTTATCCATGTTCTTAATGATACTGTTAATAGAGGACCATTTGTGGAAAACAATATAATAATTGAGGACTAAATTATTGATATTTGATATGGAGGGACTAGATATGTAAAACGACCTATAACTGGACACCTTTTATGGAATTTACTCATATTTTTATTAAGTAAAAAGGTATGATGTGATAGGTAAATTTAGGGGCTGTTTGGCAACTTCTGAATGGGTAAGTGCTGAACCAGTAAGAGGTCTGAATCATTAAGTGCTGAACCAGTAAGAGGTCTGAACCATTAAGAGCTAGTATATTGCTTAACTATTCGGAGGCAAATGTCTGATCAATTCAGATAACAGCTCCTAACCATTCAGACTCTGTATAATACTTAACCATTCAGAGGCAAATCTCTTAACCATTCAGACATCTGAACCATTAAGAGCTGCTTAAATTATTGCTGAGACGAGGGAATGTGACGAACATGCAAGAGGTTAGCAGCAACAAGATCACGAACAAAGAAGTAGCCAAGGGCAAGATGCTTCATCTGGGAATGAAAAACAAGATTCTTACAGACGTATGTGGTGCCAAGATTATCACAATACAAGAGAGGAACACCAGAGAGCTAGAAACCAAGCTCTTGAAACAGATTCTTGACCCATACGTTCAGGCGTATGGGGAGGGGTAGTAAAGTGAGAAATGCCATGAGCATAGAATAAAGGAATTAATTTGATGAATTCACCACCATTATCAGAAAAAACGCATTTTATGGAGCGCTGAGAATAATTTTCCACCAATCGTTTAAATGGAGGGAAAATGGAAAAAACATCAGCCTTGCGCTTGAGCGGGTACCACCAAATGTATTTTGGATAACCATCCACAGAGCACTGAGTAGTACTCCAAACATCAGTGCAAAGTAGTTCCAAAGGTGAAGTACTGATGAGAGTACTCTCAGAAAAGGGTAATTTGTGGCTTTTATAATATTACAAGAGCCACAATGAAATTGAGAAACAGACGAAATTATGGAAAACTCCGGGCATTAGCAAATGATTGCACTCAACGCCTTATTATTAGGATGACCCAAGCGATGATAAAGATTAGCAATAGACGAGACAGGAACACAAATAGTATGCTCGCACGGCCCTGATTATTTTCCTTGGTGAAAAGATTTCCAATGGTTTCCTTCGGTGAAAGAGACACTTTTAATTTTCATGTGAAGAAGAGACACGTGGTAGCCTTCAGCATTGCCAAATGATAGCTTCTCATAGTTTGAAGTCTCAAATTTATATACAAAGGATTTTAATCACTCGAATTTTATTTTTCAACATTTTTTTGAAATAACATCAAATTAAACTATCTCAGTTAATTGGGGAAGGAGAGACTGTTGGGGACTTGTCGTGAGGTCCAAAACAAATTAAAAATTTATAAAAATAACCTTAACTAACCCCAAAGATATAATCAAATAAAACTATAGCTAGGGCAAGTAAGGGTCGATCCCACGGAGAAAGTTTGTACTTTTGAAGCCAATTTAGTATGCAAACACATTGTCACGAAAATAAAAGTAAAACTAAATACTACACAAAAGACAATACTTTTAAAACTTATAATATAAACTTATGCTAATATAACACAAAAGAGGGGGGGTTGGATGAAAAGTAAATATTTTTTTTTAGTTTTTTTATATTTTATTATTTTTTGGTTTTTTGATAAAATGGGGGAAAACAAGCTCAAAAGATAATCAACTTTCCCAACTTAGGTAACCCAAGAAACACCGCCAAAAACCCGAAACAAAATTTAAAAGAGAACGAACACAAAACGAACATTACACGTATAATAGGCACTTAGACAATATATTACGTAACTTACGCACTTAAGAATAGAAAAGAATTCAAAGGCTCGAGTTGATTCATATCCTTGACCACATATAGAGCATCGTCAACTCTCTATAAGGCCCGGAGTCAAAGATTCAAAGGCCTTTTGGTTACTTTGAACCCCCACTCACCTCAAGCGCTCAAATAATGATTCCAAAAGATGAAAAAGTTTATAAAAGAGCGAATCTTTCTTTCATTCTAACTCCCATGCACAAAGTATTCATGAAGAACATTTGATACACTTTAATAAACTTTAACGTCTAATGATGAAAATATTTTGCAGGTCTCCTTGAA